ATAATAATAATGTTACTATTGTTATCCTGAAATATAAAAGAGCTGCAGCCCACTTTAAAAGATTGTCCATTTCCGAAACATAATTGAAAATAACTATTGACAGATTTTGAATAATAATTGAAATGGGTTCCTATTAAAGGAAACAGGAGTGAGTCAGACTGAGACTGTATAAGATTTGGGTTTAGCTCGGGTTTGCATGTTTCCGGGAGTTTCCGTAACTGACACTTTGCCCAAGCCCAGGTTAAATTTGCAATAATATTTTGCATCGCAAGGGAGGAGCTCAGAAAATCTGGGATTTTGGGACGCAGGACCTGGGGGACTGAAGCGAAACTTGATGTTTTATCATTTAGTCCAAACACCGGTGGACACTTCAGACAGCAGTAACGTCGCCATCTCTGCATTGCCTAAGCACAGTAACTTAAATTAACCAAACTGAACCAAAAGTGTATCGTAATATAACCTTTGGTTTGACTAGTTTGTCTTCTTTTCTGAACAGGTTTTTATCTGCCTTAGTGTTCACAGTTGTTACCTTCATATTTGTGAGCCCAACTGCTTCCAGACAAATAGCAATGGTTTCGTTTCTGTTGTGTGTGTATATTACTTCTCAATATTGTACCTGTGAGAGCATAATTTTTTAAAATCCGATCAGCTGCTGAATACGGCAATGAAACTAGCAATGCTGTGAAATCGCATGATATTTCTGATGTGTCTTTAAAAACTGACTCAAACATCTGTGGCATCTACATAGAATAATACTTTAAGAAACAGCCAATTAAACAGGAAAGCTTCCTTTGTGAGAAGGAAAAGCAGCACAAAGGTATTGCGGTTCCCAGCTGATAGTCTGGTTTTGGGATATAGGAGCAAGAGAGTAGAGAATGTCTAAGGATTTCAACATAGGGATAATATATGTCTGCAGAAGCATAAAGCAGCATAGTAAAAATGTGACAGTACTTTAACATCAAATGCCAGTGCACTTTTGCCCATACTTGTACAGGGTAATATTTTTAAAGTGTCCATTTGCTGATAGGAGGACCCCAGTACCTGGTCTGCTAGATCCGTGAACATTTGGTGCAGCACACCTGAGCTTCCGCAGGCATGTCCGTCTTAAACATGTCAATATGAGTAAAATTAACAGAGGTAAAGCAGTCTGTAATTTATAGAAGCCTGTGCAATATTCTTCTCACACGTTCAATCTGGTGAAATCTGAATGTTGGCCTGTGCAATGTGGTCAGGAAGCAGTGGCAGTCTGTACCCTTCCATTGTAAAGGCTCGCAAAGTCCATGGTTGACTTTCAACATTGCATGTCCAGTCGCACAAGAAGTGAATAGTATAAAAAAGCACAAATGAGCTGGATTAATGAGAGATGGTACCGATCGACTTGGCAACATTGCTGATGTGTATCATGCTTTTCTGAAAGGAAGCAGTTCAAATTTTCATAGACACTTTGGTTCCACATGTAGAACCTCAATGTATATACACATCCAGAACGTCTAACCTGAGTGTGACACATACCAAAATCTTGGGAAGCTGGCTTTTCATTGTGTGCATGAAATGTACCTGTACTGTATATACAAGTGAAACAAAAAGCTATATTGCCGGTTTTTTTTAGTTGTTTTTTTTCTTTGATGTTCCTTAAATAACAGATATTGAATGTTTGTTATTTTATGTGAATAATGTCAATACTTGGCCCTAAAGACTGGTACAATGTGATAAAGTCATATTCTATGCTGTGGCTACAATGGGCCAAAGTCTGTTTTTCAGTGTTTGGTATCTTTAATTTCCCCTGTTTTACATCACGGGATAAAACAGAGGGCTACAAAGAAAAGATGTACAATTTCTTCGTATTTTTACAACATGCCTTTAGCTTTTTTTGGTAGGTGGTATTGGTTTCTTAAGAAAGAGGGTGCAAATGCTCAAACTCAATGCACAGGTGTTGTAATGATATGTCTATGACTTTCTTTTCCCCTTTTCATTGTTGATGTTGCTAACTAATAAATGAAAGCTCTATATTTATAAGAACTGAATGTTCTCCTCCTGCTTCAAATGTATTTTAAGTGAGACAGTTTATGAAATTGCGGAAACTATGAGCTGCCTCCTTCATTGATAAATAATATCCAAAATACTGGGAAGCACATTGGGCTCACGCCACATGATGGTGCAATTTATCCTAGTGAGAGTCACAGGAGACCTGGAGCCTATTTGAGGAAGCACAGGGCACAAGCAAGGCTGTATCCTGAATGACATGCTTGTAAATCATAGGAAATACACACAATGGTCAAATAATCTAACCACATGTCATTGACCCGCAAAAGCTACCTGCATAGCAAGGACATGCAAACTCCTTAGTCAAACAGAACACTGGCAGAATTCTAACCCCAATGAGCCACTGTGACCCTGTGCCTCCACTGTGATCCGGTGCTGCCACTGCGACCCTGTGCCAACCCTGTGACCCTGTGCTGCCACTGCGACCCTGTGCTGCCACTGCGACCCTGTGCCGACCCTGTGACCCTGTGCTGCCACTGCAACCCTGTGCCGCCACTGTGACCCTGTGCTGCCACTGCGACCCTGTGCCGTGACTCTTGGCACAGTTGACATCATGATTGTTACAGTGGCATTCCTTTTTCTCCTGGCAAGCTATACAATTCTGAAAAAAATTAAGAGATTAAAAGCTCTATATTTTTAAACAAATCTCCATTTTTTAATCCTGGTTTAATCCTGGTTCTGCTGGCAGAAGGCTACACTGAGCAGCAGGTTGCTTCCAAGTTCTAAGACAGCAGTACATAAGAAAAAGGTGAAGCAGGAGACACTGGGAATGACCAGAAACCAGTCAGGTAAAGGGCAGGAGCAACTTTCTAATGCCAGAGATAATGCCGTTAACTTATCCGACAGTATCTCATGAATTGTAGGATGACATCAAGTGACCTTGAAAAGGAATGGGAAACATTAAATGCAGGTGTGAAGTGCATTGCTAGGATAGTTCGTATCAGGTTCCAAGTAGCAGGGCTGAAGTCCCATAAAGCGTGTGTGTGTGTGTGCGTATGTGTATGTGCATGCATACTGTAAATTGAGAAATGGGTGACACAAAAAATGTTGCTGTGGTCTCAATCTTTCCACAGCTGTAAGTTTCTCAGCAGGGATTCTGGACTAACGCTACTTTCAGTCTGAATGAATAAGACCCCCCCCCACCCCCGGGGCCCACGTTGATAATATTACTGAAGTGGAGGGGAAAGGGGTACAAAATGTGTACAAAATGGTTCAAAAAGGGACATGGCATTTTATTTTTCATTGCAGGACAATCCTATAATATATGGGATGGGGGCCAACTCTACCTACAGCATAAAATACTGCTGCAACAACCAGAAAAAAACTGGCCCCCCTAGAGCTCGGGGCCCCAGGCTGCAGCCCAGGTTAGCCTGTATGTAAGTCCGGCCTTGGTCACCTCTACAGCACCGGCCCCATACAGAATAAATATGACAAGCAGCGGATGACAGCAACCACCTCTTATGCAATCAGGCCACATCTCAGAGTAATTCCTGAGCTAAAAAGAAGAATCAGTTCAATGTTTCATAATACAAGTACAGTTGAACAGATTTAAAATTTCAAATAAATAAATTATTTAAATAAATCCTTTCAAAACGGACCATTAGGTGCATAGTATGTTATGCAATATGTAAAGCATCTGTTCTTCCTTATGCCATATTTAGATACAGTTTCCATATGTACACAATGTATGTTTATGACAATAGTCTCATTCTTTTAGACATCAATCAGCAACTCTTCCAAAAATGATTCCCTTCTGTCTTCTGGCTGCAGTACAATGACCAGGCACACATTTGTAAATCAGTGTTAACAACTGGCACATTTAATTTCTAATCTGTACATGAACTCTCTAGGATAACTACCTTTCAGTAAAGAACATTTATGAGCATACCAATATTAAGTGTAAGCTCCATTTTATAATGCTTATATTTATTTTTTGCCGTTCATCTCTATCGCTCCCTCAGTTTCATCCTTGCAGTTTTAGAGGACACTTGCCGGATTTAGCTCCCCTGTCCATCCGCAGATTGAGGTCAGCACGATCTATCAGGTGAAAGTATAAAGCTCTTTAACTACCTCACAAAAGCTGAGCTCATGCTTCAAAGATGGATAAAAAGTCTTCAGTAAAGATACTGGGACAAATTTTTAAAAATGAAAAAAAAAACTGAAGTCATGGCTGCCTGTGAATTCAAACCTCATGTATTAGAAGTTTCAATAAAAGTAATTCTGCACCCGATGGCGATCCCTGCTTTGAGCCTCCCACAAAACTCAATAGCACTGGCATAATATCAAATTCATTACATGACGAGATGTTTTATGGAGGTATAGATTATTCAAGACAACCATATTTGGATTTTTTTTCCAGTGTTATGGCATTCTTTCTACAAAGACTTGCATGACTTACTGTACGTTAAAGGACAGCTGTAATATACCTCCTAAAAGCACATTTGATTTGAAAGTGTGTGATGCTGTATGGCATTAAATCTGATTAAAGTTCATAAGAAAATTTGGACTAATTTATAGAATTGTCCAATTTATTCCATAAATTCCATACCCTGCGGCAAGTTGGTTCTCTATGTGTGCTGTGCAGTACTGTGGTGGAGATAAGAACTTGAGCCGAATTACCATCTCTTCACTGTGTACCTTCTGCTGAGCACAGCAAAGTCTCTCCAAATCTTATGTTATTCACCAGTACCACCACCCTCCCCATCACCCATACCTCAGCCTCCTTGTGTCCGACCACTACTCCTGTCCTCCCTTATCATTGGCTGATCGAAGTCAGGTGGTCACAAGGATCCCCAACATCACTATACAATGTGAAAGACTCACGGGCCAATGGGAAGCAGTTGATGTAAGGGCTGCATCACTGACACCGCTGGAGGCCTGCAGGCAGCAAAGCAGACCTTCAGGACTTAAGTGGGTAACCCACCTGTGAAGAAAGTGACCATATCCAGAAAGGCGACATGGGAGCTGGGGCGAGTGCAGAGGAGAAGCACTCCAGGGAACTGGAGAAGAAGCTGAAGGAGGATGCGGACAAGGATGCCAGGACTGTCAAGCTGCTTCTGCTGGGTAAAGTCTGCTATTACCAAAAGACAGCAGTGTTTCACACAGCAAAGAAAGGGTTTATAGTGTATTATAGGGCTTATAATATGGCCCACAGGCCATCTGTCCCTCCTGCTCGACAAAGAGAAAATACATTGTCTTTAAGATTGTCTTGATATTGTCTTGGGAAACACTAGTGCTGGAGTAAATCCAGTGAAGGACAATGGCAGCCAAAAAATAATAAGTAAAGGTTGCTCTTCAGCCAAAGTATTCAAAGTCTCAATGGCCCATCACAGGAGTAGAATATTGTATCTATTATTGTGTTGGTCCAAAAAAAAGAGTATAAAACTAATCAAATGTACCTTATCAAAAGAATTGTCAATTTGATGGCTGTTGGAAGTTTTGTTGTAATTTCCCGTCATGGATTTAAAGCAGTATATGGAATATCTAGGTGAGCTAAGCTTTCTGGTGCCCCTACCACTCTGGCAGGCCTGATCAGAGATAAGTAGGTTGCTACTTATGAGGAAACAACTTGCACTCGTGAACTGTTTCAGTGTTGCATATTTTTGCCATGCGATGTTTTCTTATTGAATGGAAAACCTACATAGTCCAAAAGTCATTAGTCACAAAAAGAAACTGTATATTTTCAGATCGGGAGCCAAGACATCATTTTCATTTAATTGCTACAGAATTCCCCATTTTGCTAACCCTCAAACTACAAATTTTGCAATACAGAGGTTTTCCAGACACAACCCACCAGTCAATCTTTGTGACTCGCTGTTCCGTGTAATAATATCTCACAGGGTCTTGGTTGATTCAATCTGGTGAGAATTAACAAGCAGCTTAAGAGGGTAACCTGTCCTTAAACTTATCCTGAGCTCTGTAGGAACTGCTGGACATAAAGAATTTTACCTTTTATAAAATCTAATGCTTTGCTAATTTGTCAAACAAGCATATCGAAACAAGATTTAGTAAACAAGCCTGCTTCAAAAGAGAAGCTTGTAAAATAATCTCATAATCAGCACTAACCCATCACACACTGAACATTTAATGAGGAGAGACAGCCATAACCTATTAACTAAGGTGCAGAGCAAACGCAAGAAACATCTTTATGGTCAAACCCTTTCTTTTTTATTTCTATCTACTTAATACAAGAAATTAAGGAAATATAAAACGTTATGTGAGAAACTGCTTATCAATTCCTGAAACATGATCCCTGTCAATAATAAAATAGTTTGAATTCTAGTATATTGCTATGCTGGATCAAAACAATTATTTTTTTTAACCTAGAATGGGCTTGCATATACCTACCAGTCCTTCTGAACTATCAAAACATGCACACCTTCCCTTAATAAGGGAAAGCTGTCTTTGCCCAGTCAGAGGGTGATTCACTTTTCTCAGAGATTTGGAGATTTGGGTCAGGGACAGAGAGCATTAAATTACCCCCCACTACTCGCCCATCCCCTGACATCAGCTATAATGTGTTTATCTTTCACAGGATTAAGATGACAAACATTAGCTTAGCAGACCTTACAGAAGGCTACACTACATCCAGATTGTTACTTATTCTAAAGAATAGTAAATACAAAGACACACCATTTATGGTTTATAATGATTTATAAAGACAAAAATCCTGTACTGAGCTCCACATACATCTTTGCCACCATCCCTGAAGCTGCTAATGTCTCAGACTTTAGGTCGAAGTCATGCCTTTATGCCCTGCAATAAAAGGCTTGTCTGATTTAAAAACAAAATCAATAACCTCATTATATTTAAATTCACCTTGAATGGCATGCATTGGAGCTTATGATATATATACACTAATAACAATAGAATCAACTACACAAAAACATGCAAAAACAAAGCAATGAGAGAGCAATAGTGTCCCCTAGTGGCAATTAAATACATTACTTAGATTTAGCCTGGATTTTTATACATATTTGAATAAATTTATATTATTGATAATACTTTCATTTTTTTCAATTATTCTAGGGGCTGGTGAATCTGGTAAAAGCACAATTGTCAAACAAATGAAGTGAGTATCAGAGAAATTCATGTAGTTGGTGTGGAATGACTCCAGCAGCTATAGAAATTCTTTGCCATGTTTCATCCCCCATGAATGTAATTGCACCCACACAGAATTATCCACCAGGATGGTTATTCACTGGAAGAGTGCTTGGAGTTCATTGTCATCATCTACAGCAACACTCTGCAGTCCATCATGGCCATTGTGAAGGCGATGAGCACTCTCAGCATCGGCTATGGAGACCCTGCCCAACAGGTAAAGAGGATGACAAGAAAGCCCATCATACAACCAAGCACCATAAACCTATCAGAGGCTCTACTGCTGTAACACGTAAGCTGAAAAATACAGATCTGGCAGCATTACCTATATTATGGAGAATGAGTTCAACCGAAATGTCTTTGTTATCAGACCAGTTAATTACGTTGTTTTGAGGTAGTACATAGAAATATGCACTAAGGACTAGTATTTAATGATTATGTGCCAGTTACGTGCCTGTTTCTTCAGGAGTGTCTTTCTGCTCTCAGGATGATGCCAGGAAGTTGATGCATCTAGCAGACACCATCGAGGAAGGTACCATGCCAAAGGAGCTGTCAGAGATCATCATACGTCTCTGGAAAGATTCTGGTATCCAGGCCTGCTTTGAAAGAGCCTCGGAGTATCAGCTGAACGACTCTGCTGGATAGTACGTCAACGTTTTTCCTTTAACTATCTCTGTGTTTATTGTGAGGCAGTGTTTACTTTGGGGTGGGGGGGGCATTTAAGAGAAGATGGTCCTTTGAACAGGAGGGCTGGTGCTTGCCCATGTGGGGCACCCTACACTGCATGCTGGCACCACAGTGGGTGCGTGGGCAAGTCGATTTCCCTTTCATGCACAAGTCAAATCAACGGGTTAAATCAGCACTCCCTCAGAAGGGAGTATTTAATGTTGGTGACTTCATGTCACCAGTAGGATTGAGCGACCTTGTGTCAGAATGGTCCAGAACACAATCATAAAAACCTAAAATCACTTTTTCACATCCAGTGATGCTTCCTAAAATGGACAAAGTGGGAAATTGTGGTATAAGTTTCATCTTTACACAAATGCAAGCCAATACACATTAATCCATAAAGAGCACCTCATTCTTTTTACAAGAATGTTACTCTGTTGATTAAGTAACGTTAATAACTTTAATTGGTCAATTAATCACATCATTTTTATGCCTAGACATAAGCTTTTGAATACCATGTTTTCAACTAACATAATGGAGTTCTTTACAATCCTATCAATTCTTACTGTTGATCCTGGATCTTCATGAATGACTAGATATTGGTTATTTTGACTAAATCTCCCTGACCTGTTCTGTCATTTTAAGTTACCTCAATGACTTGGAGAGACTGGTACAGCCTGGGTATGTACCTACTGAACAGGATGTGCTGCGATCAAGAGTTAAGACCACTGGTATCATCGAAACTCAGTTCTCCTTCAAGGATCTCAACTTCAGGTGGGGTTAAATCAGGACTATTAATAAGATACACATACCTGCAGAAGTCATATGACAGCATATACTATACTAACTGCGTCAAGGCCAGATAGGAGAAACAATAAAATATAGGTTTACATAAACATAAAGTTTAAACAAAAATAGATTAGATTGCTACATTTCATTGACTGTTTTTTTTTTTTTAACTAATTCACAGAAGACACATGGGTGGCTTGGTGGTTAATGGTTCTTATCTGTGCACTGTGGGTATTAAATGGGTATAAAATTAATTTGAGTTTCATTTGTGAAAAGTGCTTTTTCAGAATTAGTATCATTTGTTTCACTAATGACATTCAAGAATGAATAAAATTAACTGGCACAGAGCACAGAAAATGGATGCACATTAAACACTTTCGTAATCCCTGACTCCTCCATCCGGACTTCCACTTTTAGGATGTTTGATGTCGGAGGTCAGCGCTCTGAGAGAAAAAAGTGGATCCACTGCTTCGAAGGTGTGACATGCATCATCTTTATTGCTGCCCTGAGCGCCTATGACATGGTGCTGGTGGAAGACGAGGAAGTGGTAAGAAATTAGTACCCAACAACCTCTAGTGTGGCAAAAAATACAGAGCAGTGTTTCCTAATCCGTCTACATTTTCGCTGAGCTGGGAGGGAGCAAAAACATGGACCCACTGTGGCAGGGGCGTCACAAGCATTTTGAATGTGGGGGGGACACACTGGAATAAAACTAATACTTTATGTTAAATGTAGGGGGGTCCAAACGAATAATTATGAAATGTGAGGGGGGCACGTCCCCCTCAGATTTAATGGCGGCGATGCCCATGTACTGTGGGTCCCCCAGAACCGGACTGGGAAACACTAATGTGGAGCAATATAGTGATATGGGAGTTGAGACATAAGTGATGGCAGGTGATAAGGGCAGGGGCACATTAATGCATGGGCTCACCCAGGCTGATGCCCAGGGGCCTCTGTTAAAGAGCAGGGTTGCCAGCTCTCACGCATCCGGCATGCTCTCATGCTCCCACACTCATGTAAGAAATCTTAGGGCAAATATACCGTATGTTCTATTACAGACTTAAAATTAGCTACATCAAAAGCATTAGGATAGTTTGCAAAAGCCACAGACTATCTACAAGGTAATAAAACTGTTACATACATGTAAATGCGTGTGCATGTGTGTGCAGACTTGTCTTGAATTGAAAATCTCACTCCAGCCAGCTGACCAAAGTTGGCAACCCTGGAAAAGGGGGCCCTCGCTGGTCAACAACTTTGACCGCCGCTAGTAGGGAGGCCTCGGATCATGATAAAATGCCCCTAGATAAGGGTAGCATTTATAGCAAAGCAGTCCAGATACCAGTGTGGAGAGTGAATATATGTCCTATATTCCACATAGGGATCAGCGATTTCTTTACATACATACATTTACTTAGTAGGCACTTTTGTGCAAAGGGATAGACATGTGAGAAGAGCCTGCAGTCAGACAGCGGAATCCCTGAGGGACTTGGGTTAAGGACCTTGTTCATGGAACAAACGGTGATATTATGACTCTACTGGGCACACCACACCTCCACAAATTACATCTGCAGAATTGATTATGACCGATCTTGAATCGATTAAGCTGAAGACAGTTATTTTTATTAGGACAAACAGAAAACGTAGTAAGTTAAGAAAAAATAGCAAGTGTGATACTGTATGTACATCTACTTTTCTTAAAAGGCTCGGTGAGTTTGTTGGATTTTGGTTGTATTGATTATCTGTAGCTATTTTTAACTTCAGTGTGCTTTCTCCTCCATTTTCCATCTCCTACCCAGAACCGAATGCATGAGAGTCTGCATCTGTTCAACAGCATCTGCAATCACCGTTACTTCGCCACCACCTCTATTGTGCTCTTCCTTAACAAGAAGGATGTCTTCATCGAGAAGATCAAGAAGGCCCATCTCAGCATGTGCTTCCCTGATTATGATGGTGAGCCACCTGCATTTGTTTGCATGTATGCAGTGTAGAGGGTGAGGTATGTTAGATGTTGTTCCAGCACAGCAGTATTGCAAATATTATTTGACTTTGAAACCCAATGTTACCTTTATGTAAATAACATTCAGTATTGTCAGTAAAGGTTTGTATGAACTGTGTTCATGCCATAGCAGAATTACAATCAATGCAACTTTAAG